TCCACAAATAGGATTTTATGACTTCATTCAACCTACAGAATTAAAGCATCAGTGGTCCACAATCACAGTAGATAAAGTTTAACACAGAGGCTTCCTACATAATTCAATTTACAAAAATCCTTTTGATTCTAGCTACTCGGCCGCACCTTCCGATGGTCTACCAAGCAGCTATATCTTTCGAAATACTGCAAATAACCTGACAAATACCAAAATTGTCCCTACATTACTTCTAAAAACTCTACAGAACTCTCTGTATTTATCCCATCCTAGATGTTCCTACTATCATAAAATATTAAAGGAACCACTTCAATGTCTGCATATAGTCTCAGTATGGTTGCAATATAATTAGATCAAAGGTACGTCGTAAAGAGGAATCACGATACCATAATAGGTTAGTGTATTGACTATTTGGAGATATTAAACAGATCAGTATACATTCCATAATGTAATTGTGCTAGTATATTCTAGAACTTGCCAGTAATTTTTGGAAAGCAATAGAAGGTCCCTGCCGAAAGTTCTCGAAAAATCGGACTGATTATGAACCCATTCCGCATTTAGCAACTTTTTGTAGTATATAAGAGGGAGAACCCTTCAAGTGAATTAAACCTTCTTTTAAAACCATAGTAAAGAATAATAATAATAAAAGATGTCAAAAGCTATTGGTATTGATTTAGGAACAACTTACTCCTGTGTTGCACATTTTACAAATGATAGGGTAGAAATTATTGCGAACGATCAAGGTAATAGAACTACTCCCTCATATGTTGCATTCACAGACTCTGAAAGATTAATTGGTGATGCGGCTAAAAATCAGGCGGCTATGAACCCAAGTAACACTGTTTTTGATGCTAAGAGATTGATTGGTAGAAAGTTTAGTGATGAAGAAGTTCAAAGCGATCTTAAGCACTTCCCATTTAAGATTGTAGACAAGGCAGGTAAGCCACAAATCCAGGTTGAGTTCAAGGGTGAGACTAAGACTTTTACCCCAGAAGAAATTTCGTCGATGGTTTTGGTTAAGATGAAGGAAACTGCCGAAGCTTATTTAGGTGGTGAAATTAAGGATGCAGTTGTTACTGTTCCAGCTTATTTCAATGACTCTCAAAGACAGGCTACGAAAGATGCAGGTTTAATTGCAGGTTTGAATGTTACAAGAATTATCAATGAACCAACTGCTGCAGCCATTGCATACGGTTTGGACAAAAAGGGAACATCAGCCCACGAAAAGAATGTGTTAATTTTCGACTTGGGTGGTGGTACTTTTGATGTTTCCTTGTTAGCAATTGACGAAGGTATTTTCGAAGTCAAGGCCACTGCTGGTGATACCCACTTGGGTGGTGAAGATTTTGATAACAGATTGGTAAATCACTTCGTCAATGAATTCAAGAGAAAGAACAAAAAAGATTTGTCTACCAACCAAAGAGCATTGAGAAGATTGAGAACTGCTTGTGAAAGAGCCAAGAGATCTTTATCTTCTTCTGCACAAACATCAATTGAAATAGATTCTTTGTTTGAAGGTATTGATTTCTACACTTCTATTACTAGAGCTAGATTTGAAGAATTATGTGCTGATTTATTTAGAACTACCATTGATCCCGTCGAAAAGGTTTTGAAGGATGCTAAGGTTGATAAATCACAGATCCACGATATAGTTCTTGTTGGTGGTTCTACTAGAATCCCTAAGATTCAGAAGTTAGTTTCTGACTTTTTCAATGGTAAGGAACCAAGCAAGTCTATTAACCCAGATGAAGCCGTCGCATATGGTGCTGCTGTTCAAGCTGCTATCTTATCGGGCGACACTTCGTCTAAGACTCAAGACTTATTGTTATTAGATGTTGCTCCATTATCCTTAGGTATTGAAACAGCCGGTGGAGTTATGACTAAATTGATCACAAGGAATGCAACAATTCCAACCAAGAAGTCTGAAACTTTCTCCACTTATGCGGACAACCAACCAGGTGTTTTGATTCAAGTTTTCGAAGGTGAAAGGGCTAAGACTAAAGATAATAACTTATTAGGTAAGTTCGAGTTATCTGGTATTCCTCCAGCCCCAAGAGGTGTCCCACAAATTGAAGTTACTTTTGATATTGACGCCAACGGTATCTTGAATGTTTCAGCCTTAGAAAAGGGTACCGGTAAGACTCAAAAGATTACTATTACTAATGATAAGGGTAGATTATCTAAAGAGGAAATTGAAAGAATGGTTTCAGAAGCCGAAAAATACAAGGAAGAAGATGAAAAAGAAGCCGCAAGAATCCAATCTAAGAATACTTTGGAATCTTACACTTACTCATTAAAGAATACTATTAATGATGGTGAAATGAAAGATAAGATTGGAGAAGATGACAAAGCAAAGTTATCAAAGAGTATTGAAGAAACTATCGCATGGTTAGATTCATCACAAGCAGCAACACAAGAAGAATACGACGATAAGCATAAGGAATTAGAAGGAATTGCTAATCCAATTATTTCTGCTGCTTATTCTGCTGCAGGTGGTGCTCCTCCAGGTGGTGTTCCTCCAGGTGGCAACCATCCAGGAGGTTTCTCTGCGGATGCTGGTGGTGCTGGTGGAGAAGGTCCTACTGTTGAGGAAGTCGATTAATGGTTTTAATTCGTTTTATATGGAAAATTTTGGTGTTTATTTTTAATAGTGTTTTAATGAATGTGATATGTATATATATGCAATTTGTTGTAGATTATGTAAATCATCGAACCTTATATAGAGCTAGCTGAGTGTCTCGAATAACACACAAATCGTGGTTGCTAGAACCCAAGTAAAAATCAAAATGAAGCCTATTTTTTTATCTATAATCCAATTATTTCTCGGGATCATTATAAGTAGAATTGAAATACTTAGTATTATACTCAATCCTGTTACAACTAACGTCTTTGAAATATCAACCCTATAACCGTTTGTATGTTTTTTATTCCTGGGTATAATCAATAAACCACTTATTCCCATAGATGAAAGTGATAAAAGGGGACCACCAAAACAGGCACCAAACGCCATTAAAGGCATTCCCATTTTTGCAATAGTAAAATTTGAGATAAAATCCCCAATAGAATTACCAAGTGCAAAAACAGTGATTCCTAAAATATCATCACTCAAGTCATAAATAATGGATACTGTTCTCAAAATGCTTATGATTTCTGTTGCAAATAGCGATATCCATGATATGGAAATTGCAAAACCTATAAAAGATGCAATATAATTAACATTCTTCAAGGATATAAATTTACGATCATAATTCAAGTTCATTAGACTTGCTAGTACAATTGATAATAATAACCCGATTAAAGCATGATGGCCCATTACATTGCTCATTAAATTGATAGCCATAAAAGTTTGAGTTGTTAATAATATTTTATCCAATCTGTAATCAAAAGCTTCGTCGTCTACTGTAGATTGGTTAAAGGGGAAATTCCTCAGGTTTTTCTCTAGCTTATTCAACATTTGGATAATTGAATGTTCTCTCACTGGTGTAGTGATTCTTAATAATATAGATATAGGAAAAGATATTATCAAATATAATTTATTTGTTAAATTGTAATCATAAAATGTAAGTAAGTTGGGTGCAATAAGCTTGATCAATTCAATATCTTTGAAACCAAATTTGGGACGAAATGCTATATTTTGAGGTTCCGATTCCGGTCTTTCAGAATGCATTTGATTGATGTTTGTTTGTTCTAGCAAAGTCTGTTCTGTATTTTCTGCTTCTTCTGGTTGATCTTCATCATCCCTGTAAGGTTTATATGTTGGAAACGTTTGCGGTTGATCAGTATCAGAAAATAATTGTGGACTATGGGAAATAACAGGTTCTGTTATTGGCCGTTCATTCATCTCTGACAAGCTTATACTTCCTTGATTAGAATGTTTGCTTAATTCCCGCAATAGCACTTTCAAGCCATAAGAGCCAGTCCCGACAGGAATGCCATCTGACGTTTGATGTCTCATGAATTCATCATATTGATTATTCATCACGCCTCTATCTTGATCTCTTATGTTATTAAAATTTAATTCTTCGATCGTGGGAAGATCATCAAATGTATCTAAGAATATATCATCTGTACGATCGTTATCTTGAAGACGAGATAACGAATAATTTCCTCTAGATCTTTCTTCTCTCACCCTTCGCTTTATCTTCGATTTTAGAAACGAATGGTTCAACACAACTATCACCACGTATATCGCGTACACACCAATTAAAAGGATACAGTTGGCCATGCTAAGGTATGAATTTAACAATGAAATTAGTACCAACACAATGACACCTAAGAAGAACCCTGCATCTCTTATGAACAGATCTCGTGGAACTTTGAATGGATGAACCACTGCCATCGATCCAACAACCACTGTTATAATAAACAACGCAGCACCCATCAATTCAGAGATTGCCAAGCTACCCGAATCCAAACTCATAGCTTTATAGGTGCTCAACACATCAGGAGATCCATTACCAAATGCTAACAATGTTAAGCCCGCTAAATTATCTGATAATTCTAAAAATTTTGAAATTGTATATAAATTGGGACAAAGGTAGTCTGATGCTGTCATACCTAAGGCAATAAAGAATAGGCTTAGACAACTTATCAATGGTACAACAGAAAATGACTTGAGGCTCGGAAACTTGCAGTAGTACAAATCTAAGTAGTTGACTCGACCTATGTCCGTTTCAGAAGCACAATTCCTTTCTATAAATGAACATTGGTCCTCTGCTGGCACTTTGAGTACTTGGGAACAGGTAGAATTATCTCTCTTACTGAATTGACGTAAGCCTTTTTCAGAATAGCTAAAGCAGCTGGCATTAGCAGCAACACCTAATAGTAGTATTATGCATTTCAATCGCATGCTCTATCATTCATACGGAAGTATCAACTTATCGTATTCAATCTGTTAGGAGTCTAATACTGATAACCTCTAACATGTTATATGCAGGTCGATGGTAAGTCGATGAGTTCTGATATGATATAGAAGTAATTCTATAAGACTCAACTGTTCGATAAGTCTGTTTTACGATCTTTTTACTTGAAATAGATACATGCTGGTTCAAAAAATTGTTAAGTGCTACAAGAAGCAACAGAATAAATTGCGTTCAATATTTTGTACCGCAAACTACCCACTTCATATCAATATATATAACTTATCCTTTTAAACTACAAGTAGATGTCCAGCTGATCATTGCACCACTCCCCATTCGGGCACACGAAGGTAATCCCTTAGAAATAAATTAATTATTCAACAGATGGAGTGCTGCACCCAAGATCAACCAAGTTTTTCTCCAGTCCATTCAGTGAAAGAAACACAACTATATTCCGATGGTCATGGGTCAAGAACGCCATAATGGGTTCAACCTCAAGGGAATGCATTAACGTTGTGAATGGCTGTGGTTTTGCGTTAAAGAAGAAAAATGAAAACGAAAAAAATTTTAAAGCTTTCTCTTTATTATATAGCGCAGAGAACAGAAGTGCGGGTAACCATAGTATGATAATAGGGTTGCAATATCATGAATACCTATTACTGCAAATTCATTAAGATCTATATATGCCTCTATAAAATTAGCAACTTTCAGAGCTACTTTCGTCTAGGGTATTCAGAGTAACCATGACGCCATTAACTTTCGGCTCTTTGTGAATTGCTTCCATAGTATCTATGACTTTTGTGAAGACATCGTCCACGACGTTCTTCCCCCATAATGTATCCATATGTTCATACCCAGGACAATTCACTATATCTATAAGGTTATTTTTCATTTTATCGTTAATATTTAGTATTAATTCCTTTGTATTTTCCATATCAATCAATATGTCAGAATCACCGTAAACCAAAAACGTAGGGACGTTCAAATGGTGTGCTATGGGGAAGGGAGCCACCCTGCTAGTTTTCGACCTTGATACACTCGAAAGATTTGACAATTTGGTCATTCCGATGTTGCATGTTTCGTCAAACATCTGGAATCGTTTGCTATTAATTATTTGGAACCAGTGTATCAATGATTTGACAGAAGAGTTCGAAAACATGTGCGGATATCCTATTCTTTTCTGGGATTTTGTCATGTTTTTTCCCGACCATCCAAATAAATAGACAAGTGACGTATCAACCACTTTCTCGTATAGACTGGAGCCTAGAAAATAGCTCCAGAATGCAACTGATGGAAGTATGGCCTTATTTCCAAACATGCTGTACAAAAATTCGTTATTATTTGCTGACTGAATAACAATAGCTTTGAAAATTGGGTGGTTTAAGTTTCTGGGGATTATCGCTGGCGATAATCCAATAAATAAATTTAACTTTGAATTCAATTCTGGCTTCAAACTCAAACTGGCAAATAGCTGAGAGCAACCCTGTGAGAATCCAATATAAGTTATCTTAGCTGATTCGTCATAATGTGATGAAATATAGTCAATCGAGTTGGGAATATCGTATAACGCATATTCATCCAACGAAAAATTCCAGAATTTAGAATCGTCGATTGACAATTTGGTATGTTTCATAGAATACTTATTTCCCCGATTATTACCCAACCACACATCATATCCCATATCAACTAATACAAATGGTAAAATCCGCTCCTTTGTACCACCAAGCAAGAATAACTCTGAATTGGTAAGCAACCCATGGTGAAAATACGCTATTTTACCTCTGGGGCTATACCGTATTCCTTTTTTTTCAAGCTTATGTATAACTAGCACATATTCATCCTCGGTGGTGATAACATGTTCTCTAACAATATAACCGTATATATCTGCAATCTCCGTTATATCCTTAGACTTAATGATTCTTTCGTAGATAGTTGAATTTTTCTTGTTGTCAACATCCACGGTATCAAAATCTAACCCAAGAAACTTCCTTACTAGCTTGTACAAAATAGATATCCCTATACTAAGTACAAGGAAACCAATATTCAAGATGGTGTTTCCTATAGTCAACTTTTTAACAGAAGCCATCTTCAAGAACACTACCTATCATATATGTTTCTCTCTATACTAACCAGCATATGATAGCCTTTTAATGTTACTGACACGTGATTCTCATCGTAAAGATTATGGAGTAGTAATCAATGATGATACAAGATATTATATGATTATGTTCTATATACAACTAGTTGTAGGGGAAATATACAAGTACAGGGGAGATTTGAAATGGTTTATGAAAAAACTCAGGTTAATTATGTGAAATTTCTACGATGAAAATTTCAAAAACTTTTAAAAAATTCCAAACCATTTCTTTCTCTTATCAGGCTTTTCCTCTTCGCCAGACGTTGATTCGCCATTCATAAAAGACATTGCAAACTTCTTGTGTTCGTCCATTTCTCTTAACATTTGTTCTTCTTGTTGCTGTTGAATCCGCTGTGCTTCTAAAACATGTCTTTCAGATGGTCTGTTCAAGGCATATTCACCTTCAACAGTTTTTCTCAAGTTTTCTGGGATATAATCAGAATCTTTAACGTTCTTGACCACTATGTTGGCGCCCTTAGGATGGTGCAAATCGTCGTATTCCTGGTCATTGAGGCCAATCATCCGTTCTTTAAGGTGCAATCTGGCACGATAGAAGTCTGACATGACATTCTCCCTTCCGTCATTCCATCTATGGAAAAATGCACAATATACCACCACACTTGCAGCAAGAAACGACCCAAACCACCGTGTTCCGGTATTTAATCTCTGGTTGGTGTCGATTCTACGTAACACCTTATATTGGCCTGGATACACCTCAGATGGCGGTCTTGGCGTGTAATTCAATCTTTTCATGGTCTCATTGACTTTTTTGTATTGCGTTGGATTTCTGGGTATAGAAGAAAATCCCGATGGCTGATTTCCTGGTATTTTGAATTCAGATGGATACCCTTCGGGTGGTCTCAAATCGGTCGGGTCATATGGATTATATGGTGCCTTTGGAGGAGTCCAGCCCTTTGGGTTAGGTCTTCTTTGAAAATCATCCTCCTCCTTCTTTGCTTTATCTCCACTCATTCTGTTGATGAAACTATTTGTTCATTGTAGTACTAACAATTTTCCAAATTTTAGGCCATTTTATAACCTGCAAATTTTAGCAACTTTACAGGTTATGTGCTTACTATCAAATCATTCATACTGGATAAGCTTAACTATACCTTATATAGTTAATTCTTTTATTTAATCAATTGATCCATAATGACTGGTTATAGTACTGAAATACTGGAAGTATTTTCTCATATTCAGTCTTTCTTTTCTTTAGAGACTCTAGATACCCGACTTCAGCCTCCTACAAATGTTTTAAAGAAACAATCAGTTATCAAGAAAGCAAACCCAAGATCTAAATGGTCCACTTTAGAATTCAGATTTTACATATTGGTTTTTATCATAGTGATTCCACTAATGCTCAAAGCGGCGATGGATGCTTCTAATGAAAATAATCCTAACTACCCCAGGTACGCACATTTATTGAGCCAAGGTTGGATGTTTGGACGGAAAGTTGATAATTCAGATCAACAGTATAGGTTTTTCAGGGATAATTTTCCTATGATATGTGGGTTGATTATGATACATGTTGCTGTCCGTAAAGCGGCCACTTCTGTATTGCAAATTAATAAACGGACGTACTTTGATTGTGGATTTGGACTCTTATTCTTATTTGCTGCCCATGGTACCAATTGTTTACGGATTTTAATTCATATTTCAATAGCTTATGCAATTTCAAGATATGTTCCTTCTAGAAAGGCTGCTGTTTGTCTTACATGGCTATACGGAATACTGACGTTGTTTATAAATGATAATTTCCGTGCTATTCCTTTTGGCATCCACGCAATTGATCATGGTTTCAAAGGAATCATTGCCAGATGGGACGTTTTTTTCAATTTCACCTTACTTAGAATGTTATCCTTCAACTTGGATTATTTGGAGAAGTTGAAAGAAATTGAGAACAACGATAAAGAGGCGTCAAATTCGCTGAAACTTTCGGACCTTGATGACAGACAGCGTCTTGAGGCCCCGTTACCTATGTCTGACTATAATATTGTCAATTACATTGCATATATTACTTATGCTCCATTATTCATTGCCGGTCCAATCATTACATTCAATGATTTCATCTATCAATCTAATTACCAACAATTACCTTCGGTAAAAGACTATAAGAGGACTTTTGTCTATTTTGTAAGGTTCTTGTTCTGCTTGCTCGTGATGGAGTTCTTGTTGCATTTTACTTACGTTGTTGCTGTGTCTAAGACAAAAGCCTGGGACGGTGACACCCCCTTCCAGATTTCGATGTTAGGTATGTTCAATTTAAACATTATTTGGCTCAAATTATTAATCCCATGGAGATTGTTCCGTTTCTGGAGTTTGCTAGACGGTATTGATCCCCCAGAAAATATGATTCGGTGTATGGACAACAACTATTCAGCGTTGGCATTTTGGAGAGCATGGCACAGATCCTTCAACAAGTGGGTTATAAGATATATCTATGTTCCTTTAGGTGGAGGAGGTAAGTACCGTATCTTAAACAGCTTGTGTGTGTTCAGTTTCGTTGCCATCTGGCATGACATTGAATTGAAATTACTCATGTGGGGCTGGCTAGTGGTCATTTTCTTGTTACCAGAAATCGGCTCTACAGTCTATTTTAAAAGGTACGAAAATGAATGGTGGTACAGATATTTGTGTAGTGTTGGAGCTGTTTTGAATATCTGGATGATGATGCTTGCAAACTTATTCGGATTCTGTTTGGGTAAAGACGGTACCATTGCATTATTACTGGAAATGTTTAATACTGTATCTGGAATCGAGTTCTTTATTTTATCCCTGGCTGCTTTATTTGTTGGTGTCCAAGTGATGTATGAATTAAGAGAATCAGAAAAGAGGAAAGGTATCAATGTTAGATGTTAGTTCTTATAGCGTAAAACATATTTGTATAAGTTTAAATATTGCGCACATAAATTTTCATGAAATATCGTACTAGTATTACTAAAACCATTTTACCATATGGCTCCCCCAACTCCCGTATATTCAAGGTCGGATATACTTTCAAGGTATGATGATGTATTAGCAAATCCTGAGAAATATCAATGTCATTTAAAATCGATAACACAGCATGAATGTACATTTAGAGTATCTCAAGATAGACTGCATCCCCCAGAGATAATTTGTTTACCCTTCAAACGAATATTTCAAAGATGCTTATATCCGACAATAATAAAGGAAAATGGAAAGAAAAAGAGAGTTGATAAGTGGACAAATATTGAAATCACGGATCAGAATTCTAATAGAGATTTGATGGTAGTTCCAAAATATGGTAAGGATGTCAAAGACTTTTTGAATGCTGATAAGGAATTGAAACGTCTTATGGAATCAGAGATGAATGAAAATTCGTAAAAGGTGGGTGTTTTAATGATACTAGTGTTAATATTAATGATAGTAATAAATAATCATGTATATTAAAGGATTATGATAGATAGGTGCATCGGATGAATTGTGCTATATACGATAACAGTAAATATTACAAGCAGAGCTACCAAGTGGAAGCTCACTGTAAGATCTCAAAAATTACGACGACAGTATAAGTCGCTATTCTGTAGCAAAGGCTAGTTAAAAGGTGGTTCCCTCAGCAGGTTGTGCCAATTTCTTGTTAGCTGGAGCAGCCATACTTTTCCTCAATTCTAATAAAACTGTTTCCATAGAATACGATCTTTTCCAGTTCTTCAAAATGTCGAATACTGAGTCCACAACTTTTCCCTGTTCATCTACACAAGGCAAATTGATCTTTGAAATAAATTGCACTTTTGGTGGCTTTTCAGGATAGCTTTCGTCACAGACTATGGTTAACGAATAAATTCTGTTTTCATGAGTAGAATGTGGAGGTCCCAAGATAGTCCCGTTCCAATAAGTCATGGTTATGTCATCTTGATTTGTTAATCCGTATGAAATGGATTCAGCACCCAATCCTTTTTCTCCTTTTTCTAATTCTTCTAATAATTTAAAATTTCTAGGACTAAAATCGTGTTAGTTATGATCTAATATAGTATTACGAATCATCAGTTACTTACATCTTAGACATATTCTGCTTTGGTGTTAAGAAAATGAAATATATAATGCTCCTTTCATAAAACTGAATCTCGAATAGGGTCTCAATTTCACACGACTGTACTTATTGTTTACAAAAATACTGTAAATAAAGATAGTAAGAAAGACAAATAAGAACTATTACAGGCGGAAATGTCAGATACTGGTTCTTCTCCATTCATTGATCGACCAAGATCGATGTTAGATGAAGATTCAGATTTCAATTCAAGACAAATAATATCGAATTTGCAATTTCAAATTTCATCACTTAAAACAGAGAAAAGTCTATTACAACAAAGCAAAGAGTCCATGGCCGAGAAGTATGAAGCGTTGTTAAAAAAGAAGAACGAAGAGGTTGTTTCTTTACAAAATGATTTTGATTATGTATTTAAACAAAGAGATGAATTACAATCTAAGTACGATAATATTCAACAAATTAATTCAAAAAACGTGGAATCATTGCAAACTCAGTTAAACGATACTACAGAAAGGTACGAGGAATTGAAGAACAAACATGAAATACTAAACACTGATTTTAAAAGGCTTTTTCGTGACAATAATCAAATGAAATCAGAAGTAGAATTCCAGAAAAATTCAAGAGACCAAATAAACGAAAAAATTCTTAGCTTGCAAGAAGAGAACAAAAATTTGTACAAATCCAATGATGAGTTGATTGAAAAATTAAATAGTGTTTCTGAACAGTTGGTTTCAAATAGTGAAGATAGGTTTAGCAAAAATTTATCGGATCAAAATGCTAAGCTTCAGAAGGCTAACAATCAATTACAATTGAAGGTAGATCAATTATTACAACACAAGACATCATTAGAATTATTAAGGCAAAAGAATAATTCTTTAGCTAATAAGCTATCTTCTTTGTCAAACTTAGAAGAGAAGTGTTGCAAACTAGAAATTGAAAATTTGGAATTATCAAATAAGTTTGATACTTTTTTCAAGACTATAGAGGATTCAGTTAATATTGATGAAAATAGAACGAATGAATCGGTTGTTATTGAATTCATGGATAATTATAAACGATTGCAAAACCTTAATTTAGTGCTTCAGGATAAATATAATCAATCGGTAAGCAGTGTTTCAAGTGTACAAACTGAGTTATCCAGTATAAAAGAAAAATATTCAGAAGCTCTTTCAAAAATAGAATCATTGAACAAAACGGTATCAACGAGGACGGAATTGATCGATAAGCTTGAAAGACAGAAATTACTCAATGTTAAGGAAATCGAATATCTCAGAGGCCTGTTGAAGAAGTTGGAAGAGTTGAATTTAAAACGTACTAAAGAAGAAACGAATGACAAATCAACAGAACAGTATATGTCAAATTTAGAAAAGCTAGTAGATGAATATAGAACTGAAATCAACACTCTTCAGAAACAAGTTCTGTCACAAGATATACAATCCAATGTTCATGCTGGAAATAAGAGACCAAGAATAATAGATAACGGTATACAGAATGATTTCAAGTCTCAAGTTTCAGTATTAGAAAAGGAAAATCTTAAATTGTTATCGACAATTAAAAATTTGGAATACAACAATAAAACGTTAGGTGAAAAATTACAGAATTTGGAGAGTTTAGATAAAAAAAAGAAGGAATTACATATTTTACAATTAAAATCGAATCCGGCTTCTCAAGATCAGCTCATCAAACAGCAGACCTTAGATTTGCTTTCTAAAGAAAATCAAGATATGATAGAAAAATTTGTTAAAAACAAAAATTTTGATGACTTGATTCCTAAATCTCTTTTCGAAAGACAGGAAAACGATAAGCTACAGTTACAAACAAAAATTGACCAGTTAAATAAAAGAATAAATCGTTTAAGAGAAATTTATAGCCAAAAGAGTCGTGATATTTTATCAGTTATATCGAAATTTTTTGGGTACACGATTGAATTTTTACCAAGTCCAATAAATCCTAATGACTTATCATCCAGAATAAAGCTTGTATCAAAGTACATGAATAATAAAGATGAATCAAACTCTGCATATTTAATACTAGATGTCAATTCAAAATCATTGAAAGCAAATGGCAGCTTAGAGTTTAAAACGTTATGTGAAGATTTAGTAACTAATTGGATCAGTGATAAAGATCAAATTCCCTGCTTCTTAAGTGCTTTGAATTTAAGCATATATGATAAATATGCAACTTGAATAGTTCTATAATGTAAATTAATAATATTAATCTATACAGTTGATGCAGTAATTAATTGTTTGCCTACAAGCAGAAGTAGCTCAGTAGGCGTCTTTTCAAAATTTTCCACCTTCTTATTGATTAAATTCCATGTTCTACCTTTATTTATCCCTTCATATTGCTTTTCAAAATTCTCTAATAGAGTTTGTTTCTCTGAATCGGAGCCATGTTTATCTATGAAGTTGAATAACCATCCCCAGCAGTCACCATTATTTTTATCACCATTCAAGGCTCTTTCAAACCACGATTTAGCCTTCATGAATTTTCCATCTAACCAAAAAAATATTCCAATATGAAGCAAGACTAATGGTGAATTATCCGTCAGCTTTAAAGCATCTAGGAATGCATTTTTTCTCTGTGACATCTTCGGAATCATCTGTAAATTCTGAATCCAAAGAAGAGGAGAATTAGGAAAATCTCTAAGTGCTTTATTACAAATTTGTCTTGCTATTATGTTATCATTATTTCTTCTCTCTATTCCAATTTTTTCATTCCAGAGTTCTTCACTTGTAGGATTATTTAGAATGGCCGTGTCTAACATTGATCTTGCTCGGATCAAAATTTTAAATTCTCTTTCATCAATTCTTACGAGTGAAAGCCATAAATCAATGGATTTTGGGCATTTCTTCACACCAATAGAATAAACTTCCCTTGCAATTTGCATATTCTTTAGATCTTGAAGAAGTATTTGACCTTTCTGTAAGTAAAGCTTGTCACAATCAGGGAATCTTTCTAAAGATTCATTGCATAACGATAAGATACATTCCCGATACTTGCTATCGGGACTTTTCATATTCAACACTCTCTTAAGATGTATGTGTTTATACCATACACGAGGCGAAGAAGCGGGTAACAATTCAACAGTTGCAGTAGATATCTTATTTGCAGCTTCATAATTCATGTTTTTGATTTCTAGCTTCACTTGAGCTAGTAAAATAGCCTCACTTTCTGGAATTACTTTATTGGCGGCTTTCAAGATTTCTCTTGCTCCATCCACATCTTTAGCTAAAATCCATTTATCTTTAGCATACATCAATGCAAATAATTCAAACTGTGGATTTAGTTTGATAGCTTGCTCATAGAAACTGAATAATCTGTCTAAATTCAAAGGAGATATCTGCTTGAGAGAGCTAAATAGTCTCATCCAGCACTCTGAATTATTTGGAAACTGCTCAATGATATATTGATAAATGCAATTTGATGTTTCAAATCTTGATTGGTTTGCAAAATGACCAGCTTCTTTAAACCAGATCGATAACTTTTCTTTGGGATCAGATGGAATATCAATATTTAAAACGTTATTTACGATAGCCTGGCAAGTCTTGTTGAAGCCCTCGATTTCTGTGTTTGCAGCCTCTCCCAACCATTCTTGTCTAGATAATAATTTGGACTTATCGCTGATACTATTCTCTAGTTTTTTAATTCCTTTTTCCATTAACGTGCTTAGTTTCTTTACTGAGATATCCTCATGTTCACGCTCTTCTAATTTCGCTGCTGCAATCCAAACTTTATGGTTATCACTCATAGATTTCCTTGCTTTATTAAGTAAATTCTTTGATTCAGCGTAATTAGACAAATTTATTAAAGAAATCCAGAAAGTCCATTCATTTGGACATAACTCAATTGCCTTGTGTAGCAATTTTGCCACATCCTTAGGATCCTCCTCCAAATCAATAAGCCTTTCCCATAATTTTACATTCTGCGGAAGGAATTCAAGGGCTTTCATTAATATGCGGCGTCTTGACACAATATCTGAAGCATTCTCTAATTCAAATGCTTTAATCCATAGTTTTTCTGATGTATTATTAAACTTAAGTGCCTCTGTAACTATAATTTTGCACATTTTGGTTCCTTCAGTGGATTTTTGATGAATATGAATGCTTTCAAGCCATATGTCTTCACTGTGAGGAACCTTTCTACAACCCTCGACAATGAAGTTCTTGGCCGCTGTATAATTTTTTGCTTGTTCTTCCAATCTAGCAGACGCAATCCAGGAATTAGCCTTATAGGGGTTGGTTTTCCTCAACGATGATAGAATTAGTCGGCCTTTCTTTATATCGCCCACTTTACTAACTAATTCCTCTTCCGCGATTATATCATTTTGAATGTCCTCCGTAGCATCATTAGCACTTTGTGGGACTAAACTATCAAGCTGCCTACTCAATAGCTTGTCTTTTGCTCCAGAAATTGACTGAAAGTCGGTGACACTATTTTTACTAATTGAACCACCCCCAATACTTCCTGCTCCTGCGATAACACTGTCTGGCATCGCATAAAATCGTTGTTGTTGCTGTTCTAGAAGCCTTGCCCTCTTATTTCTTCTGGTTAAATCCCCGACCTCGGGCAAATTTTCCCACTGTTCATCGCTAACTCCTGATAGTGCTCTCTTTAAATCTGCAAATTGCTCCTTTGTATTATTAACACTTGCCAATTCCGTTTCTTCTTCTGTAGATGTCTTATCTTTGCGTTTTCTCTCCATTCTTCGGTCAATTTCTTCGTATATTCTATCAGCTTCTTCATCATCCTGGTCTCTGTTCAGTTTTTTGCCTAACAATCCGTCATCATTCTCATCTTCTGCGTTACTTCCATTTATGTCTTCTTCTTCGTTATCCAGGACAATAATACCTGGCTGGATTCTGACCGACCCTGTATCAGCGCTTGTTGTAAATCCAGCAGCACCTCTACCGATACCAGCAATATACCCTGCCGGAGGCTCTTGATCAAGGAACGCTTTCCTGTCCATTTAATACTGTCTTACCGGTATGTTTCTAACGTTGTCTACATTGGTCTTATGGTGGTTTATATATTGGGTCACGTGAGCATCTCTAGTTCGTGCGGCTTAAAAATTTTGAAAATCTTTTTTAAGTGAATAAGGTCCATGAAGTGCTTATTCTTTTAATCAAATAACTAGTACCAAAATGTCTAAAAGATCAGCATCTGATGAATTGGCACAGTCAGTGAATTCTGCTGTGAAAACCACCAAAGATTCATTACCTCCGACAAATGCTGTAGAAGAAGGAGATGTGGACATGGGTGAATTTGAAGACCCATACGGGGACGAATTCGAAAGTGACGGAGAAATCATTGAAGTGGACTCTGCAAATGAAGACGATGATATGGATGAAGAAGGCAAAAGTAAGAAGATCGAAGAATTAGAAAGAGACGAAGAAAAAGAACCAGAATCGACTATTTACTTACCACATAAGTCTAAGCCATTAGGTCCTGATGAAGTGTTAGAAGCGGACCCAAGTGTGTATGAAATGTTGCACAACGTCAACTTGCCATGGCCATGTTTGACGGTTGACGTTTTACCGGATAATCTTGGTAATGAGAGAAGGACATACCCAGCTTCGTTGTATGTTACCACGGCTACGCAGGCATCTCGTGCTAAGGACAACGAGCTCATCACCATGAAATTATCATCATTATCCAAGACGTTAGTCAAAGATGAAGATGACGATGACCAAGACGAAGACGATGATGACAATGAGGATGTGGACCCTATTATGGACAGTGAAACCATTCCTTTGAAGCATACAACTAATAGAATCAGGGTTTCACCTCATGCATCCGAAACCGGTGAGTATTTGACTGCTACAATGTCTGAAAGCGGTGAAGTTTTAATTTATGACTTGTCTTCTCAATTTAAAGCATTCGATACCCCAGGTTACATGATTCCTAAATCGAGCAAAAGACCTATCCATACCATAAGAAACCACGGTAATGTCGAAGGTTACGGATTGGACTGGTCACCATTAATTAATACTGGTTCTTTATTAAGTGGTGATTGTTCTGGTAGAATATACGCTACTTCAAGAACATCATCGAACTGGGTTACTGATAAAACTCCATTTTTCGCATCCGATTCTTCAATTGAAGATATCCAGTGGTCTACCGGAGAAAACACCGTTTTCGCTACCGCCGGATGTGATGGATATGTCCGTGTCTGGGATACAAGATCTAAGAAGCATAAGCCAGCAATTTCAGTGGCAGCATCGAAAACTGATGTTAATGTCATTTCTTGGAGTGAGAAAATTAACTATTTATTGGCATCGGGTCATGACGACGGTTCATGGGGTGTGTGGGATTTGCGTAACTTCAATGCTCAGACCACTCCTTCTCCTGTTGCTCACTACGACTTCCATAAGTCTGCTATCACTTCGATTTCCTTCAACCCATTAGATGAGTCTATCATTGCTGTTTCCTCCGAGGATAATACTGTTACTTTGTGGGATTTGGCTGTCGAAGCTGATGATGAAGAAATCACAGAACAGAGAAAAGAATTACAAGAATTGCACGATATTCCACCTCAATTATTATTTGTTCATTGGCAAAGAGATGTTAAAGATGTCAGATGGCATAAACAAATCCCAGGATGTTTAGTTTCTACTGGTGGTGATGGGTTAAATATCTGGAAGACTATTTCTGTTTAATCGTAAAATGCGTGTTTTATTAGCAAATTCTGTTTTCAAAGTAGATTAAATTTGACAGAGATAGTAAAGCATTCTTTGTATATTAGTTTAGATAATACATTTTGACACTAAGTTAATATCTGTAAGCTCTAGATAGTTGTAAAAGCCGTACTTAGCGATGAGCCCAATTTGTGTAAAATCTGATATACAGGCTATTTGTAGCTGAAAAATTATTGATTTTTTCTTGATTTCCAGCAATACCATCTATTATAATGGCTAAGAAGGATAAGAAATCGAAGGATGCCAAGAAGGCTCGTACAGCAGAAAAGCAGAAAAAGAACTTATCCAAAGCTGAGCAAAAAAGTAAGAAACTTTCGAAGAAATTAGGTGAAGAAGAGGAGGAAGAACAAGATATAGATGAAATTTTAGAACAATATGCCAAGGAGCAAGAAAGATTTCAGGCTATTACCGTAGAAGTATGCAAGAGGCCATCTAAAAGATTAAACCCAGCTATGGTTTCCAATCCAGCTCAAGGTAAAAGAGAATTGATCTTATTTGGAGGTGAGAATACTGAAGGTTCAATTTCACATTTTTACAATGATTTGTATACTTATTCAATTGACAATGATACATGGAGGAAGATCTCGTCGAAGAATTCACCATTGCCACGTTCATCGCATGCTATGTGTGCACATCCGTCTGGAGTGATTTTGATGTTTGGGGGTGAGTTTTCATCTCCTAAGCAATCGACTTTCTATCATTACGGTGATACTTGGATTTTAGAGGCTGACACTAAAGAATGGACTAAAATAGATCAAAAAAAAGGCCCATCTGCGAGATCTGGTCATAGATTAGCATGCTGGAAAAATTATATCTTGATGCATGGTGGGTTCCGTGATTTGGGAAATATGTCTACGTACATGAACGATTTATGGTTATTTGACATTACTTCTTATAAGTGGATTCAGGTAGAATTTCCTCCAAATCATCCTATTCCTGATGCTAGATCGGGTCACTCGTTGATTCCATGTGCGGATGGTGCCGTCATATATGGAGGCTACTGTAAAGTTAAGGCTAGAAAAGGTTTGCAGAAAGGTAAAGTGTTGACAGACTCCTGGATGTTGAAAATGAAATCGGACCCAAGCGCAATTAGGTTTGAAAGAAGACGTAAACAAGGATTCGTTCCATCGCCTCGTGTAGGTTGCTCACTTGTGTTCCATAAAAATAGAGGTATTTTGTTTGGTGGTGTCTATGATTATGAAGAAAGTGAAGAACAAATTGATTCAGAATTCTATAACAATTTATACTCATATCAAATCGAAACTAATAGATGGTATAATTTATCATTAAAGCCGCAGAGAAAACAAAAGCAGCAGGTTAAAGATAAATCAAGAGACGAAGATTTAGAAGATATCTTAAATTCGATTTTAGCTAAGGCAAAATTGAACGATGACGATGATGATGAAGACACTCATGAATTATCCCAAATTGAAAAGTTGAAAGAAGAAGAAGAACGTGAAGAAGAAAATGAAAGTGTGACTGAATATCCAATAATGAACCAGTTACCGCATCCAAGATTCAACGCTACCACGACCG